TTGCCAGCACTTTGGTCCCTTTGGTAATTTTCTTGAGGGGACCAATGGACCAGCAGAAGGAGTAAACATCTGCAACCAACATAGAAAATAGCATAATCACCCTTTTGCCAGCACTTTGGTCCCTTTGATCATTTTCTTGAGGGGCCCAATGGATCAGCAGAAGGAGTAAACATCTGCAACCAACATAGAAAATAGCACAATAACTCTTTTGCCAGCACTTTGATTCCTTTGATAATTTTCTTGAGGGGACCAGTGGACCAGCAGAAGGAGTACACATCAGCAACCACATATCCTTCTGCCAGTCCCTTAGGCTTCTTATTAATTGAGGGGGTCAATGTTGAGCACATAAAAGAAGGTGCTATACTTCATCATTAGGGTAGGCACAAAAGGAACAGAAGATTTCCTATTAGGGCAATACCTTCACAGGACGAAGAAACTCACCCCATGATCTCCAGTGCCTTTTGTTAGCCAAAAGCAGCAATGAAAATTGGTGATGCAGTGTTGGATATGGAAGCCACTGGGTGGATGGTGGGCTTCTTGTAAATGATGGCAGCTAGGTGAACTGGTAAAGGGGCTGAGGGACCCTTTTTCCAGATCACAAGAGAATGGATCCATTCAACCAAGGGAACTGATCCACACATCTCTACCTTTATCAGAAATAGTCAATGGTATTGGATTTCTGTTTTCTACATCTTGCTGAATGTGCTTGAGGGGACCAATGGACCAGCAGAAGGAGTATACATCTGCAACCACATATGCTTCTGTCAGTCCCTTAGGCTTAATAATTAATTGAGGGAACAATGTTGAGCACCTAAAAGAAGGTGCTATACCTCATTATTAGGGTAGGCACAAAATAAACAGGATTTCTTATTAGGGCAATACCTTCACAGGATGAAGAAACTCACCCCATGATCTCCAGTGCCTTCTGTTAGCCAAAAGCAGCATTGAAAATTGGTAATGCAGTGTTGGATATGGAAGCCATTGGGTGGATGGTGGGCTTCTTGTAAATGATGGCAGCTAGGTGAACTGGTAAAGGGGCTGAGGGACCCTTTTTCCAGATCACAAGAGAATGGATCCATTCAACCAAGGAAACTGATCCACACATCTCTACCTTTATCAGAAATAGTCAACGGTATTGGATTTCTGCTTTTCTACATCTTGCTGAATTTAAAAGAAGCTATCAGAACAACATTTCAAGACTGCACAAGGTCTCAGGTGAGCACCATGTGCACGTGTCTCGTTAGTCTTGCAGTAAACTATATCTGCTAATGTAGGATTAGTTTAGCAAAAAATGTTGTTTTTTAGGTAAGATTTAAGTAAGATTTTAAGTAAGATTTATTTATTTGTTTATCCAGCAATTTATCCCAGTAGCATGTACTTACAGTTGCAAGAAAAAGTATGTGAACCCCTTGGGATTATGTGGAGTTTTGCATGAATTGGGCATAAAATGTGCTCTAAACGTCATCTAAGTCACAATAGAAGAACACAGTCTGCTGAACATAATACTACACAAACATTAGATGTTGCCATGGTTTAATTGCACATAACATGTAAACATTCACAGTGCAGGGAGGAAAAAGTATGTAAACCTTTGGACTTAATAACTGGTTGACCCTCCTTTGGCAGCAATAACCTCAACCAAACGTTTTACCTGTAGTTGCAGATCACACCTGCACAACGATCTGGAGTAATTTTGGACCACTCCTCTTCACAAAACTGTTTCAGTGTAGCAATATTCTTGGGATGTCTGGTGTGAATCACTCTCTTAAGGTCATGCCACAGTATTTCAATCGGGTTGAGGTCAAGACTCTGACTGGGCCACTCCAGAAGGCATATTCTGTGCTGTTGCAGCCATTGTTTTGTTGAATTACTTGTACGCTTTGGGTCATTGTCCTGTTGCATCACCCATCCTCTGCGGAGCTTCAGTTGGAGGACAGATGGTCGTACGTTTTCCTGCAAAATGTCTTGATAAACTCTGGAATTCATTTTCCCATCAATGACAACAATCCGTCCAGGCCCTGAGGCAGCAAAGCAGCCCCAAACCATTTGTAGACAGTCTGTCTTACCGTGGACACATGAACATCAAGGCTTTTGGAGATACTTTTGTAACCCTTTCCAGCTTCATGCAAGTCAACAATTCTTGATCGTAGGTCTTTTGAGAGCTCTTTTCTGCGAGGCATGGTTCACATCAGACAGTGCTTCTTGAAACCAGTAAACCCAAAACAGGTGTGTGTTTTTTAAGGGCAGGACAGCTGTCAGCAACACATCCAATATCATCACACTGATTGGAGTCAAGGTGGGCTCACTCCAGGCTCCAATTAGCTCTGGGAGAAGTCATTAAGCTAGGGTCTCACATACTTTTTCCTCCCTGCACTGTGAATGTTTACATGTTATGTGCAATTAAACCATGGCAACATCTAATGTTTGTGTAGTATTATGTTCAGCAGACTGTGTTCTTCTATTGTTGTGACTTATATGATGTTCAGAGCACATTTTATGCCCAATTCATGCAAAACTCCACGTAATCCCAAGGAGTTCACATACTTTTTCTTGCAACTGTACTTTTCCTGCACTCTTGTCACCACTGTGTTTGGCCTCTGGGACCAGAAAATGAAAACCAAACCAACTTGTTGGTGCTCACATAGGGCTATGGACTCCACCCTAAAACAAAAAAGAGGATGAACCAGCCTATTGTATTATCTTCAGATATCCTTTATTGCTAAAATCAAAAATTGTATTATATACTCACAAACCAACGTACGAGGGGGTATCAAATAGTTTTGACTTTTGTAAAATGACAACAGATGGTAGCACAAGGCTGCAGGCACAGTCACAGGGAGCACCAACCTTCATAAGTCTGTGTGCCAAAAGACATCGTCCTGTGTACATTGGGAGCTGTGCAACTGCTGCTATTCTGACCATGTGCATTGCCATGTCTGCTATTTCATCATGGACAGCAAGTTAGAACAAAGAGCAAATGTAAAATCTGCATGAAAGTGGACAAATCGCTGGATCTCTGCAATGTTGTCAAAACAGCGACTTCATCTTTTTGGAAGAGGGCATTCATTGAAGGTCTTCCTGATCTTTCATCATCTTCCAGTGATGTTCTTCATCTCTTGAAGTGCACATGCCACTCAAAACACCTCAAACAACTTGTAACGGAACCGGACCCTGACTGCACTAGGGTATTTCCATCAGACTCCCGCTTCCCTGTCCGAACACAAACCATGGACACCACTGTTGAACAAAACCAGGAAATAGACTGCTTCATTTTAACACAGAGACAAGATATAAACATTCAAGAGAACAACCCACCTCTCTGCATAAGGACACAAGGCGGGGCAAACCAAATCTAGCAATAAGAAAAATACACATCAGCAGACAGTCCCATCAGGGGGAAGGGCTGCCGGAAACACCCCCCACCAATCCAATACACAAATACATACATCCCATAATAGTTTGCTCCCAAGCAAGACACATAATAGAACAATGGGATGCACCACATGGCAGTACAATGAACAACCCCACACCCCACCTATACATGTCTACACAATATCAGGACATTCCACCCTGTACCCCTAACAACAGGCACAGGGTGACTTACACATAAGAGGGATATGAGAAACTGAGAAAGGGGTCTCCCCACCTCTCTAAAATGAGCTGGGTTCCATGGGCCCCCCACCCAAAGTCACTTCCGTCACACAACTCACTACAGCATTGCTGTAAACGTGCAGAATCATGTCAAACATCTCTGTGGCAGATTTGCCCAGCTTCACACAGAATTCTAACTTCCTGTCCATGATGAAATAGCAGATGTGGTAACGCACGTGGTCAGAATAGCACCAGTTGCACACAGGAAGAGGTCTTTTGGCACACTGACTTCTGAAGGTGCTCCCTGTGACTGTATATGCAGCCTTGTGCTGCCATCTGTTGATTTGTTGCAAAACTAGTCTCAAAACTATTTGATACCAACTCGTATGTACAAGTTGGTCAGAATACATCCAGGAACAGACAGCCAAGGTTCCTGTATATCCTCGCAGCACACTGTGGGCAAGTCCCTCAAAACGCGTTAGCCTTTCAGACTTGTATTGGTTCTCTGTGCAATGTGATGTGCTGTGAGGATATTCAGGAACCTTGGCGGTCTGTACCGAGGTTTGTTCTGACGAGCTTGTACATGCAGAACATTGGTTTTTGAGTATACGGTACGATCAATAAAGGGTATCTGAGGATAATGCACTAGGCTGATGCACCCTCTGTTTGTTTAATGGTTGCAGTTTGTCCGGACTACTCCAGTCTTACGAGGGCAGCAAAGCGTAACATTTCCATGTGATTCAAGATTGGAATAAGGAATTGAGCCTGGAACATTTGAGTACCACTTATAAGCACAGGAGATTCTTTGCTGCTTAACCCCTTCCAGTCCGGACACTTTCACCCCCTTCCTGCCCAGGCCAATTTTCAGCTTTCAGCGCTATCACACTTCGAATGACAATTGCGCGGTCATGCAACACTGTGTCCATATTAATTTTTTAGCATTTTTTTGAGACAGATAAAACTTTATTTTGGTGGTATTATTCACCACTGGGATTTTTAATTTTTTTGCTATTTAAATGAAAAACTCCAAAAATTTTGAAAAAAAGTATTTTTCTTATAAAATTTTGCAAATAAATAATCTTCATAAATATTGGCCAAAATGTATTCAGCTATTTTTTTAGTAAAAAAAAAAATAACCCAGATTAGTTTATAACCAAAAATTATAATTTTTTAAAATGTTTTTTTACATTTTCTATTTAATTTTTTTATATCATTGTTTATGGTTTTTGTGTTTGTTTTTTAACATACTGTCACCCTAGCAGTACAGTGTCACCATAGTGACACTGTACTACTTGTGGCGGGTGATAAAGATTTTTTTTTTTTTAACACTGATTGCTTTTACACCCATAAAGGCTGTAAAAGCAATCATTTCTCCTTCTCTCTGGCTGCATTCTTGCAGCATTGAGAAATACTGTGTGAGCTGTGATTGGTCACAGCTTGTCACATGGTACAACAGCAAGGCTCTTACTTTCCATTCATCATACATCAGCATCAGAGGTTGGTCATCAGCTCTGAGGAAAGGGATTCGTCCCCGAAACGCGTCAGCCATTTGACCGCACTGACAGTGAGAACACCTTGCCCGCCGTTGTGGCCATTGTCATTTTTCTATGCTTTTTAGATACATGCTTCGTCTGTAAATATGTTTTTATTATTCTTTCACTCCTACAATAAACCTTGGATAATGCACTAGGTGTGTGCACCACCTGTTTTCTCTCTATCCAGTGGCTGATTTCCCCGTCTGAGGAGGGCTGCACCCCTGGAACATTTCCTTTGGTTGTCGCTGTCCTGGTACCCTTGGCTTCCCTTTTGGCTGTGCATATCCTGAGGCGCTGGAGAGTACATACGATATCCTGTCACATGGTACCAGGCTGTTGTGAATAGCCCTGTGCCATGTGATCTCTGTGATCATTCACAGATTTCGCACGTAGTAAGCGATGATGTCAGAAGTGATATCTTGCTTACTACTCTTCATGTGATCACTGATTGGCCAATCAGTGATCACATGATCGGGATCTCACACAGAGGTCCCGTACAACAATCGGTGTTCCAGAGGACACAGCAGGCACTGGATCGCGGTGCTGCGTGCTCCCAGGGAGCACGCACAAGCAGGGGGCGGGGAGGACGTTTATAAACAGCCACCTGACCCTGCACTGCTCCGTCTGGCCGTTTATATACAAAGTGGTTAAAACTATGTTAGTTATAATCAATAGCGGCCCACATATAATTCAGATTCCAAACACACAAAATGTCCAACAAAAAGTCCCAAAAATGCTCAAGGTTTTTTCCATATATACAGGTGATATCTACATATTGACCACGCGTTTCGTCATCACAACTTTTTCAAAGGATGCGTCCATCAGACCACGGCTGGCTGTATATACCCTGTTACTCCTCCCTCCTCTGATTACCGTTGCCATCTTAGAAGAGGGAAGAACGCCCTTCTCCCGTTCACCATAATAGGCAAACGATCCCAGCCACTGGCAAATGAAAAAAAGGGGCCGATCTCAATCCTAATAGATGTAAATGATCCTCAGACTTCACTGCTGGCATCTCGTGCAGAGATAACAAATCTCCACCCAAAAATAGATAAAATAACTAACACATACATATTAAATGAATAGGACAATCCTATAATAAGATAGAATAATGATCAGTGTCATGAATCCTAAAATCAAGCAACAATATAAATGAGGATGCCATAAATGATATAGACCAGGGGTTGGCAACTGTGTCCCTCCAGCTGTTGTAGAACTACAAGTCCCATGAGGCATTGCAAAACTGACAGTTACAAGCATGACTCCCAAAGGCAGAGGCATGATGGGACTTGTAGTTCACCAACAGCTGGAGGGCCACAGTTGCCCACCCCTGATATAGACTATAATATCCTATCTTCCCAAGTATGGTAGGTTCCTAATAATATCCTAATGGAATACCAATTGGTAGAAAAATCTAATCTGTATGTAAAAAACCACCAAAGGGAGGAGATTACGGTAACAAGTCCCAATCTTCCAAATGGAACATAATAGTGACCCTAAAACTAATCATCCCACAATAATAGCTCCCCATACAAGTCCCACCCATGCCCCAAAGATGTTAATCAACACAGGTAGGGACCCTCTGTACCCTGCAATGTCATATCCTAACGTGCTTGGTGCTATTAAGTATATATGTAAAAGTCCCAAAGCCAAGAAAACCATTACCCCTATATATCCGAACCATGGAGGGCACATATCTCTCCAATATAGGGGTAGAGAAGGGGGGGGAGGAAGAGGAGGGGAGCAAAAGGTAAATCTACTTCTCCTTCACCAGACCCATAATGCAACTCATCTAGGAATTGAAAATTAAACATTTCAAGCCCAAGTTTAAGTTGGGGCAGCACAGTGGCTTAGTGGTTAGCACTTCCACCTGGCAGCACTAGGGTCGTTGGTTCAAATCCCAACCACAGCACCACCTGCCTGGAATTTGCATGTTCTCCCTGTACCTGTGTGAGTTTCCTCCCACACACCAAAGACATGCAGGTAGGTTAATTTGATCCTGTCTAAATTGGCCCTAGTATGTGTATGTATGAATATGAGTTAGGGACCTTAGATTGTACACCCCTTGAGGGTTAGGGAGTGATGTGAATGTACAATATATATGTAAAGTGCTGTGTAAATTGACAGCGCTATGTAAGTACCTGAAATAAATAATAAGTTCAATTCTACATTCAGCCCTTTTGGTTTCGTACTGTCGATTTCATAAATCCAAAACGTTTCATTCTTAGAAATTTAAATCAAATATAAGAGTGCACTAAATCAACATATATAATGTCCATATATCAAATTTAAAAAAAATGTCAAAAAATTCAAAAAAATTCTCTACATACAAAAAAAGTCCATACATCAAATATGTGAAAATCCAAACAAAAAAAAAATAAACATTTTTTTTGTGACAAATATAATGGACTTTGTGAGTAATCCACCACCAAATCAATCAAAATGCACTCACCAGAGCAAAGTGCTGATGATCAGATTTTGCTAGACCAACAACCTCCAGCCTTACTGCTTTTGATATAGATAGATCTATATAGACAAGGAATGAGGAGGAATGCTCTGCAGCCACTCTTCCATGAGTGGACAATCACCACGGCTCCATATACATTTGCGAGAAAAAGTATGTGAACCCCCTGGGTTTACGTGGAGTTTTGCATGAATTGGGCATAAAATGTGCTCTGAACGTCATCTAAGTCACGACAATAGAAGAACACAGTCTGCTGAACATAATACTACACAAACATTAGATGTTGCCATGGTTTAATTGCACATAACATGTAAACATTCACAGTGCAGGGAGGAAAAAGTATGTGAGGCCCTAGATTAATGACTTCTCCCAGAGCTAATTGGAGCCAGGAGTGAGCCAACCTTGACTCCAATCAGTGTGTGATGATATTAGATGTGTTGCTGACAGCTGTCCTACCCTTAAAAAACACACACCTGTTTTGGGTTTACTGGTTTCAAGAAGCACTGTCTGATGTGAACCATGCCTCGCAGAAAAGAGCTCTCAGAAGACCCACGACCAAGAATTGTTGACTTTCATGAAGCTGTAAAGGGTTACAAAAGTATCTCCAAAAGCCTTGATGTTCATGTGTCCACGGTAAGACAGACTGTCTACAAATGGAGAAAGTTTAGCACTGTTGCTACTCTCCCTAGGCGTGGTCGTCCTGTAAAAATGACTGCAAGAGCACAGCGCAGAATGCTGCATGAGGTAAAGAAGAATCCCAGAGTGTCAGCTAAAGACCTACAGAAATCTCTGGCACATGCTAACATTTTTGTTGACACATCTACAATAAGGAAAACATTAAACAAGAATGGAGTACATGGGAGGACACCACAGAGGAAGCCATTGCTGTCCAAAAAGAATATTGCAGCACGTTTGAAGTTTGCAAAAGAGCACCTGGATGTTCCACAGCACTACTGGCAAAATATACTGTGGACAGATGAAACCAAGATTGAGTTGTTTGGGAAGAACACACAACACTATGTGTGGAGAAAAAAAGGCACAGCACACCAACATCAAAACCTCATCCCCACTGTAAAACATGGCGGAGGGAGCATCATGGTTTGGGGCTGCTTTGCTGCCTCAGGGCCTGGACGGATTGTTGTCATTGATGGGAAAATGAATTCCAGAGTTTATCAAGACATTTTGCAGGAAAACGTACGACCATCTGTCCGCCAACTGAAGCTCCGCAGAGGATGGGTGATGCAACAGGACAATGACCCAAAGAATACAAGCAATTCAACAAAACAATGGCTGCAACAGCACAGAATACGCCTTCTGGAGTGGCCCAGTCAGAGTCCTGACCTCAACCCGATTGAAATGCTGTGGCATGACCTTAAGAGAGCGATTCACACCAGACATCCCAAGAATATTGCTACACTGAAACAGTTTTGTGAAGAGGAGTGGTCCAAAATGACTCCAGATCGTTGTGCAGGTCTGATCTGCAACTACAGGAAACGTTTGGTTGAGGTTATTGCTGCCAAAGGAGAGTCAACCAGTTATTAAGTCCAAAGGTTCACATACTTTTTCCTCCCTGCACTGTGAATGTTTACATGTTATGTGCAATTAAACCATAGCAACATCTAATGTTTGTGTAGTATTATGTTCAGCAGACTGTGTTCTTCTATTGTTGTGACTTAGATGACGTTCAGAGCACATTTTATGCCCAATTCATGCAAAACTCCACATAATCCCAAGGGGTTTACATACTTCTTCTTGCAACTGTATATCAGGACCATATTCAAAAATAAAGGAGAATATAATGGTGCAGCATGTTTAACCAGCGTCTATTTATTAAAATGTAAAAATCCACTCACAAATGCGGTGTCTAAGCTGACACCGGCTTCAAAGGCATAGGCACAAAAGGAAATCCCGCTCCGTCTACTCAGCTGTCACTCGACATTAGCAGGGAATCCGCATCCGCATCCGACAAGCCACTCCCTACGCGTTTCGTCACCACGACGATCTCCTTTATTTTTGAATATGGTCCCGATATATATGGAGCCGTGGTGATTGTCCACTCATGGAAGAGTGGCTGCAGAGCATTCCTCCTCATTCCTTGCCTATATAGAAGGGTATCTATCAGCTGGATTCTAATACTGCAGAGTATCAAATCAAAAGTCTGGAGGTTGTTGGTGTCTACGCTCCCAGAGCAAAAGCGCTAAGGCTGGTCTATAATCTGATCAGCACTTAACTCTGGTGAGTGCATTTTGATTGATTTGGTGGTGGATTACTCACAAAGTCCGTTATATTTGTCACAAAAAAAATTATTTTTTTTTTTTTGTTTGGATTTTCACATATTTGATATATGGACTTTTTTTGTATGTAGAGAATTTTTTTGAATTTTCACATTTTTTTTAAATTTGATATATGGACATTATATATGTTGATTTAGCGCACTCTTATATTTGATTTAATTTGGTTTTTCCATTTTGTGTGGAGTTGGAGTTGCTGCTGTATAGGTTGAGGGGTGTGGCGCTTTTCTAAATACCAATTTGTTAAATTCTTAGAAATTTCTCTGACTTTATTAGTCCCTCTCCAGTGCCCCTGAATCCTGTCAATACCACAACATTTAAACAGGGAGGGATCACAATTGTGAACCTCACTGAAGTGTTTGGACAAATTATATTCTTTTTGAAAAACTATGGACTATAACTCTGGCCCATGTGACTTCGCTGGGCCAATCACAAGTCACCCAGGACTTTCACACGAGACAGGGGAAGTGAATCATGTGTTTATCAATAACCCGGAAGTGCCTACTTGAAGTGCTCATAAAGTGAAGGGATTACGAGTGTATGCTGCTGGGGGATTGGGCGGAAGGGTTGGCAAAGAAAAGGGTCACTTTAAACAAGTTGTCTTTATGTTCCAAAAAGTAATCAACAAAAAGCAAAGTTGTAGTCAAGGCAAGTTTCTTGGGTGAGTTGCTTCAAAGCATCTACATTTTTTTCTTGCCAATTTTAAGAGTCCAGCAGTAGGCTTGGGATTTCCCCTCTTCATGGGTCTTCTTCACCCTTTTCTTCCTGAGGGTGAAGTGAGTACAGGGGTGGACTGACCATTTGGAAACTCGGGGACTGCCCGAGGGCCCGGGGTCAGTAGAGGGCCACATGAGATGCCCCTGGTACCTTTTTCATAGGCTTTTTT